GTCGGCCGAACACATGTTCGGCCGACCCGAAGCCGCACGAAGCAAGCCGGGGAACGGCTGATTTTAGCCGGTAAAAGGCTGAAATCAGCCGTACAAGCCTGAAGTAAATAGCCGAACAGCCTTTGGCTCACTTCACTTCGGGTCGTTTATTCACTTGGCTGCCTACGGCAGCTTATTGAATAGACCCATATGTATCAGTGGGACTGATCTTGGATGAGAGACTGGGAGATTCCTAGTGCTACAGTTAGTGAGAAAGAGGGGAGAAACTTTAACAGCTAAATTCTAGACCAGATATTAGGGATAAGTTTTGCCTCCTAATGGAGGATGTCACTCTCTGAGGCTTAGAGACTGGAACTGGCTCACCTTTCTCAGTGCTACTGAAAGTGCTACAGGCAACTTCTAATGAATGACTCTCAGGGTTACCTAGCTAATAAACACAGACAGGAGATGAGGATGTAATGTGGACAACAAGAAGAACACTAGACTACAAGACTGAACAAGAACACAAACCATAAGGAAAATATTAAACACAATAGGCATAACCAAAATCCAATCTGCCTCATAATAACATGGACAATAATGGGCAATATTGTCAGCTGTTCATCAAATAGTAGCTACAATGTTAAAGGAGAACTATGACATGAGTGATTTCCACTCACCTCATAGTTCTAAGCCGACCTGTGACAATGAGACTGTCACAGGTCGGCTCAGTAGATCGGGAGGTGAGAGAACACATACCAGGTTCCCTCACCTCTCGATCCTGTCACGGCTCTCTGCCGTGACAGGGGGAGGGGCTGGATTCCCCTCTCCCCGCTCCGATCTGCCAACGCTGACTGGCGGAACGGACGGGGGAGGGGGCGGGTACAGCTGGCTCTGCCTCTAGGTAGGCAGAGCCAGCTGTCACTCACGCAGCTGGGCGGATCCCGTCATCTAAGTCGGGATCCGCTCCAGGTGCGGCGTCTCTGTATACCGCGAGCTGTAGCTCGCGGTATACTGAGCTTAGGGTAACGGGAGGACGCTAGTTTGTGTCCTCCCGTTACCCCAAGGAGAACTATGGGGAAAAACACTGACCCCATAGTTCTCCTTTAATTTAAGACAGATTTTTTTAACATATCACAGAACAACCAATAATTTTTATAGCTGAATTATTTATTCATACATTTTTCAATTCGCAAATGCTTGCCAAGGATTTAGTAAAATAATATATCGGAGATGAGTTGTTAAATATTGCTCTTAAGTAATGCAATAGAACAAATCATTTGAAAGCTGAAAAAGCAGTAACCGCCACTAAGACATTATAAATGTAACCCATGACTCTAGATTACAGACTGAAGTGAAACATTATGATCATTTATTTAAGTATTATGCAAACTGTAGACATTTGCCCTGATGGTCCCTTGCCTAAAATTATAAGATGTCTTATAGGTTTCTTCTCTAATGATACAAAGGGCCATTTGAGGATCTATTATGCAGATTTCTGCTCTTTTAAATTTTCCTAATGGTAGATAAAGATGAATGGTGGTTCATAAAAATGCTGACAGTAACATAAAGCTAGTAGTAAAATGAAATCTCCTAAACTAGAAACAGGATAAGCCATCTCCTCATTTGTATACAATGTATACAATGAATCACCTGGCCCTGGTAACTTTCTTAACAGACAGACTCTTATCAGTCTTATAGTATTACATCAAAGTAGCAAACTAAGAATCTGGAAAATATGAAAAGATGCCTAAGGCACAACTTGCTGGCATTCACTTACACTAAAACTTTGAACTCTACACTGATGGCATGCATCTCAATGACCCCAGGCCTTTAATACCTACTAGTACAGGCAATAGTTAAAACTCTGGTCCCAGGATTAGCTGGAATAATTAAGATTTGCCCCGTTTAGAAACTTTGAGCCCTTTAGGTGTTTGAATTTATTATGGGCTGCCATGTCAGACATGTAAGAGTATAAATAGGAATCCCCACAGAATATATGACAAATAACACTATTCCCTTTTTTCAGCAAAGTACTTAAAAACTTGCATTGCTCCTATTAAATCTTATTACAAGTAATAAAGAGCACAAAATACATGATATCATATACCAAAATCTTGGACGAAACCTTGTGCTTTAATCATGCACCCCTTTCCTCTCTTCAATACACTGGTGCTTGGTCTAGGGCTGTCACATGGGGATGGGAAGGCAGTGCTAAGACAATATGCATTAGATAATAAAAAGCTAGCACCACCAAGCTTTTCAAATCATATATCACAACTGTTTATACTATATAGAACATAATACCTCTCTTTAGAAATATCAGATTTACATAAACTAGTATAATACTTGCTTGTAATGAGCAACTAACATCGGTACCTTCATATGCCTATTGTGCTCCTACCAGTAGTCTGTGGACTTTTGCTTAAGTTTTTTCACAACAATGTGATTGTTCCCATTGCCATGCTTTTTATTTGCAGAAGTATATTCAGTACTAAAGTAAACAAAGGCCCTCATAAATTTACTAAGGAGATTTAGCAGTTAGGCTGTAAACAAACAGACAAAAAATATAATATGTTAGATCATTTGATATTGCTAATTGGATTATCTTTGACAAATGCATTGGTCCCATAAAACAAGTTGATTTATACACATAAAATGCCCTGATTAGTTTGAAGGAATCATCAACTCTTTCTCATCATCAAAATATGAGTTGCATTAGTAACATTGACATTTGAAAGCCCTTAACAATTAAAAGAAAACAGATCATTTAAAGTTTTATTTTTTTGCACATCTGGAAAATGTTACAATATTCAGGTCTGAGCTAATGTCAATAAAATCCCACTAGTGAAACTCTGGTTTTGTTGAGGGAAAAAATAACTTGTAGGGAAATTATTGCAGGGTTTTTAGGAAATTACATTTTAATGATGAAATTAAATATGTAACAATTATATATGTCAAGACAATATTTAAGGAAAATTTGAGTTTGTACAGCCACATTTTTTCTTTTTTGCTGTGGCACTGGGTAGGGGGCTTAACCTTAATTTCCTCACCCTATGGCACCTATTCAAGAAATTTGGAATTATTGTCACTGGGACAAGAAAGCACAGAAAGCAATAAATACATTGTCAGACATACTAAAATGTTCACACTGTGTTAAACATGTATTTTTTGTCTGTGTCCCTTCTGAGGAGATTTCACATTGTTTTCCATCCTGACATAACTGAGGAAATCTCCCCAACAATGACACAGATGGGAATTAAATTACTGGGGTGATATTTGGGCGACGTAAAGCTAAAAGCAAATATTCTTTTGCCTAAAATACCCACCACAGCTCTATTTCGTCAAATAATATATAAAGGCTTAAACGACTTAAAGGCTGATTTGGGGTTGCCAGATCTCACCCCCCCCCCCCCTTTTCCCCCTCCGAATTTGAGCAACCCCCGGG